ATCTTATTTAATTGAAATTATAAGGTTTATTTATCTGGTTTTCTTCAGACAAATTGTATGTTTTCATCGTGCAAAATTCACTAAAAAAATAAATTTAGGAAACTTGGTCTTATTACCTGGAAGTTAATTTAATTTTACTTTGATGAAATTTTTATTCATAAAAGCAAAATAAACCAATGTTCAACTTTATTTTTGCATAATCTGTATTTCTGTTTCTAACAAATAAAAGTATTTTGAATTTTTACCATGCATCTATATATATATATATATATATATATATATATATATAAAACAACTAAAGAAAGATCGAGGCCGATCTGAAATACTGAATATAAATAAATACTTTCAGAAAAAAAATTATGATTTTTTTTAATTTGCAACTTTTTCATTGTTTTTTTCTATATATACATATTAAGAAAGTATACATGGCTTCTCATTATACTATATATATATATATATATATATATATATATATATATATATATATATATATATATATATATATATATATATATATACTGGCTCACATAATTTGTGATTTTTTTTCTAGTCTTTATTATTAAAAATACAGTAGAACCTCACTTCACAAATTTAATTTGTTCTTGAAGGCCATTCGTAAAGCGAAACTATTTTTTCATTAGGAATCAAAATAGAGAAAAAAAGTCAAAGTACAATGAAAATGCACAGAACAAGACACGAATGTATACAACATGGAGGTCAACTCAAAAATTATTCCATTTGGGTTAACTCTGTTCAGTTATGTTGTTCGAGAACAGAAATTTTGTTTGATAACTGAGGTATTTTCATCTTGAATTTTCGGTTTGTATTACAAATTGTCTACCAAGAAAGGTAATTTTAATATTGTTTTGCTATATTTTTAACAGACTTTTCTTCCAAAAGACTTTTCTTCTATTCTGTTTACACTGCAAAATTTATTTAAAAAAAATATGCTATTTGTTACATAACGTTGATATTTTCTTACTATGATATGGTTATTCATCTATATAATAAATGCAAAAATGTCTGTCACACTTTTTCAATTAAAGGGACACAACTAACTTTTAAAAATCTAATCCTTTTCTCTATCAAAAAATGCAAATGTCAGTGTGTCACACTTTTTCAACTTTACTCCTAGAGGCTGTAGCTCAGCAACTACCATTTTATAATCAGGTTGACCCCACAAGCAAATTAATCTGGATCTGCAAACCTGAAATTTTGAATTCCCAAGTTTTCTTACTGCAATTGTTTTTGGGGATTTTTTTTTTAATGTGATTTTTTGCAACAAATTTTTTTGTATGATAATTTTTTATAAACATGAAAATAAATTTGGGAATAACTGAAATTAATTGTGAAATCTAATAAAAGTCACCCATGAAATAAAAGTAATTGTTTTTATGGAAAATAAGGACATACCAACATCAAATTATCTTTAAATTAAAATGGCAGCAGAAGAATTGTCGTTGAACTATTAAAAGGTAAGCTTAAGTATTAATGCAACACTTAAATGCAGTGATCAATTTTGAGTCATCCTGCTGCCTATCACATATGACAGCAGTAAGCCTTGCAAGAATAAATCTCTGCCAACAGAGGACCAGATTACAATCAAGAGCCAAGTCTGCAGCAAGGAAAAGAAAGTCCCATGCAAATAAAAACCTAGATCAAACGGCAGCCAGGAGAGCTTCCAATACTGAGAATATGCTAAGACTTAGGGAATCTCAAACTCTTGAACATGCCAAAGGCTTAATCAAGAGCCCTCTGCAGGAGCTAGCTTAAATGCCACCCATCAGAGTGGCTTTTAAGGCTAGTAACAAATATAAAATTTTATTTTTTTTATGAGTAATTTGTGTTCTTTGTAAAATGTATTTAGATAAGAATATGTTGAATTATAGTTTACCATTTTTTTTTTTTTTTTACACAAAACATTTAAAGTCAATAACTCTGTAAAAGTCAAATCAATATTTTTGATACTGCGAAGGGGTGTGGCCTATGTAATCATTAAATAATCCTAATCTACAAAAATTATTTACTAAAAATTTTGTTTCGTTAACCCCTCCTAATTTTTGAAGGTGCTACTAGGCGATGCTCTCAGGACTATAAATACTCTGCAATATTTTTCTCACTCTCTTCTTACCTTATCCACTAAAATGTAGCCCCTCGCAGAGAACATGCTTCCCTTTGGGAAATTCATATACAATATACACACGCATACGTACACACACACATTCACTCACTCCATATACTTTGTTGAACCCAAATGGTTTTCACATTTATTTGTTACACATAGTCACTTGTATACATTTGTTATTAATACATTGTCATTTGTCTGTACATATATATTGGTTCTTACACTTCTTTACATGGACTCACATCCTGAGTCTGCCATGTTTCTTGTGGATATTTCAGGAGACAGTGTGTTATTCCCAATTTCAAACACCAACGTTACTAAGGCAGCAACAAGTTGGGAAGTGCGTACACTGGCCCGCAACAATTTTCCTTATTTTGTTTTTTTTAATGAGTGGGCCAATTTTAGATAATGTGGATCGGCGTATTGTTAAGTTTACTTTAACGTTTCAAATGTTTTCTCCATACAAAACACTGATTTATCTTTTAAATTCCACTTTTTCTTTTTTAACAAATTAGCTTCATATACTGTGAAATGTGAACCCTAATTTGTATTTGAAAACATCAAGTGATGCATTATTCGAAATGTAACCAAAACCACTTTGAAAACTGCGTTGAGGGAAGTTAAAACCAAAAAATGGTACCAGCTAAGAATTATTCTACCTAAACTGATGAAATTATTGTATGTAGGGGCGGAACAATTCCCAGGTTAATTCAAATAAGATATGTGACTTTATTGTTATGTCATTCTATGTAAACTGGATTTAAAATACAGCTTTTTAAGTTGCATAAAAAGTAGTTAAAGCAAATTGTTTTGCATTCGTCATTTTAGTTCCGATGTATGATTGTTTAAATCCAAAAGGATGGCTTAGAATATGATGCTAACTTAAAATATTCAAGTAGAATGTAAGGGAGGTAAATCAGTTTTTAGCAGTTAAATATCGTGATACTAATAAATTCAATTCCCATGGAGTTTAATTTTCTTTCAAAGGGTTCAATCCCATAACAGAGCAGTAAATTAAATAAATACGCTAAGTTGTGTTAGTTTTTCTTAATTTAATTTTGAATTTGTTTTTTTTTTTTGTTTTTTTTAAATTGTGCTATTTTATTTTCTTCTTTCTTTTCAAAGGTCGCGAAAAGTAATTTTTTAAGACTGAAAATGAATCTTTTAAAATAAAATTTAATTTAACGCGGCTTACGTGATACGCTGGTATATACCAGGGAAGTTTAAAAAAAAAAAAAAAACAATTTTAAGTCCAAGCCAGGATGGGGAGTGCTTCTCTCCAGGCAGTACCTCTTCTTTACCAAAAAACTAAAGAGGAAGTACCGAATGGGCTTGGGCAATTTTTCCACGGTATTGCCGTCAAAAAGGCACTTTTTTAAAAAATTGACCTGATGTCACATTTGGTAGCGACAGGGTTGCTAGATTTTTTGACATCAAATTTTTGAAATTTGCCTTTTTTTCATCTTGGTTTGGCGTCTTTGGCTTTTTCTTGGCATGAAAAAAAAAAAAAAAAACGAAAAAAAAAAAAAAAAAACAAACACTATGCTACTTTTTTTTTTTTTTTTTTTAATCCTCAGCGATGAGTCTGACTCTGAATTATAGGAGATTTTGGCATTTTTTTTTATCATACCCTTAATCCTGAATGGGAAAGGGATCCCATCAATGTATTTTTTTTTAAAAAGCAATAATGACTTTTTTTTGCAAACCTATGCCAAATTTGTCTTTCATAATTCTCTAAACAAACTAAATGCCAGTTTTATCCTGATCTTTCACATGCTCGACCCTCTTCTGATGTTTCTTTCATAAGTTAATAAATCCTTTAAGGGGAAAAAGTGTCTTACGGATACCCTCCCTAAAAAAAAAAAAAAAAAAGACTTAATAAAACAGTTATTATCATTAGATTTATTTAAATAAGTTAGGAAAAAAAATCTAAAATTAAAAATTTAAATTTCATAAAAAAATTTATCTAGAAACGTTTTTAATCAAAGGTTTATTAAAATTCTAAAAAGCAAAAAAAAAAAAAAAAAAAAAAAAAAAAAGAAAACTAAAACAAAATAAAACCAGATGTTTCAGCAAATCAGGCTTGTTTGACTATTGTCAACAACTAAATTACCGAATTTACAATTAAAGAAATAAAAAAAATATTCACTATAAAATTGAAGAAATATGGTTTAATTTAAAACGCTTAAAAAAAATCCCACTGTAATTAATAAATAAACAAATAAAATCTCATGTTTATTTGGCTTTTTTTTTTTTTTTACACGTATTTGTTGACTTTAAAACCAAAAAAAAATTTAAAAAAAACAAAAAACAAAATAACTAAAAAAAATCAAAAACAAAAAATCTGGCAATCCTGGGTAGCGATGTGAGCGCATTGATATATATAAATAAATGGGTATTTTTAAGTCTTGAATTTAAAAATAGAAAAGTTATTGATGGGTCGAGTCATGAAAAGACCGATTCGGCTAATGTTTTTAAGCCGACCGACCGGACACGCATCAGAAGAAAAGCAGTAGCGATTTTTATTTATCGTCCACTTACAAAGAAACATTTTTCTCATATTTTTAAACGAAAGAATCAAATTAAATTTCCTATATTGAGTTTTTTTTTTCTTTTTCCGAGCATAACTATTCGTGTTTTTAAGAAATTTTATTCAATTGTTTTAGTTTTTTTTTTTTTCTTAAGCGTGTCTTGTAAAAACGGTAGTTGCGCCAAAAAGTAAAACCCTACTTTTTAAAGTAAAAACTATAAGCAGAATACTAGTTAAAAAGAAAAGTATGTTCCGGTTCCGTTTGGGTCTTAGAAATTATAAGCCTACCTTTAACCAAATAAAAAATAAAAAATAAAAATAATTTGAAGAAGCTCACACACTTACCATTCCGGCATATTCACTTAGATCAACAGTGTTACCTTGAATATCTTCTACGGTAAACGAATAAAAGTTTTTTGAGATAGTCTGCTTCTTATCTTCGAAATTATCGTGTGAATGGAGTTGGTCCGTTCCCGCAAATATATTATTTACATATTGCTGTTTGTCGTGGGCACTGACCTGAAAACACCAATAACACCAGAAGAAGGAAAAGAATGTCAAAGACAAATTTTTCAAATTATACATCATTTTTTCCCTTTAAATTCCGTGTGACTGTGATATCACTGATTTCAGATGATTTCTTCGAAGTTACTTCCTTTCTTTTTTTTTTTTTCTTCTTTTTCCTCTTCTGTGGTTGGCTCCCGTTTTCTTTATTTTATTTTAAATTTTTTTTAAGTTTTGTTTTCTTCCTCTTTTTTTTTAATTTTTTTTATTATAATGTTTTCGTACCAGAAAGGTAGGAACTATTGAGTTTTAAATCAAAAATGTATCCAGATTCTTTTTCTCCCTCCGTTTAATTATTTCCTCAAGACAAACTTTCAACACGTGGCACTCCGTGGAGAATTCAGTAGATGTGTTTAAAGAAGAATTACTTATTTTGGTTGACTCTTAAGAAAATAAATAAATAAATAAATAAAATACGTTTTAATCTTTCGCCGTCAAAGAAAAGTTGGAAAGAAACCCGAAAAAGTAAAATTCTTTAAAATCAATTTCTCCCTTTTTAAAAAGAAAAAAAAAATTCTATATATTTATTCCCGACAAGAATTTTACTTGCAGGGGTTTTTCCCGATTTTGGCACTATTTTACTTTCTATTTTTACATTTTTTTTCCACATCTAAAGTAAAACATCCTTCACCATTTCAGTCGGAAATGTTCAAAACCTGCTGATCATAGCAGAAAAATGCTCCCAGTGTATTATTATTAAAATAAATAATAAATATTTCGCGGAAGAAAATGTTGTTTTAATAAATTAATTTTGTGATTAACGCTTCATTTTAAAATCTTGGCTTAAACAACATTTGTTAATAAATAAATTTTTTATTTATTCAATGCTGCTATTATAGCTATTTATTTAATTCAGTTGCATGAATAGAAAGTTAATATTTTATCAGTAAATAAATAAAACTATTTATTTTGTTTAAGAGTGGAGTATTGCAGTAAAGGCAAAAAAAAATCGTTCAGACTTGAAACAAGTTGTTTTATAAAAAAATAATTAAAAAAATATATATATATATTTAAAAAATAAAAACAATGAACTTATAAAAATAAAATATGATGTTCAGTACTTAAACATTAAAAAAATATTTTTAAAAGACTGAAAATTGAGTTATTTACAATTAAGAAGACATGAACCAAAGTAAAAAAGAAAAAAAGTTTTTGTCGGGTCAATAACAGAAGTGAATAGCTAACTGCATAAGCATGGTGTTAAGTTACAAAAGTAAAACATTCCTCTTGAGACCATTAAATTTTAAAATTATAATCTAGGTACAGGTCAAGTACTGTGGTCTGTGTTAAAATTTCATGGAAGCATGTAAAAAAAATTCACAGCAGTAGCCACTTGGGAACTTCGGCATGATTTGTCGTCAGCAAGCTTGTCTCACTGACTGAACAGTGCGTCCGCTCCTCACTCGGTGTCCTATAGTTTCAGCCTTGTGCCACATCTAAGCTACGCTTACAAAAAAACACCATAGCAGTTAATAGAGCTGCTTAATGGGGTTGCCAGATTGACTGTTGGGGAAGTTCAGGTGGTGGGGATATTTGTCAAACAAAATATTCAACACATCCACAAAAGAACAACTTTAGTATATTTAGCTACCCCCACCCACGAGGGTTGCATGTGGTACAAGGCCGGTTTAACGTGGGTTCTCCGAGAACGTAGGCTCGGCCAAAAATATTCCCTTTTGAACCCGTATAAACGGGTTCAGGATCAGTCTACCTCCCCGAACGAGACTCTGACCTTCGGCGCAGCCTCGTCTGGGTTCCTCTCTGCCCGAAGACAGAGAGTTTGACCGTGTAGCTGGAACAGATCCCAGCTAGTCTCACAAAAGAACAATTAGAGAGCAAATAAAATAAAACAAGTATTTTATATTTACCAATTGTTCTTGTTTTTTTTTTTTTGTTTTTTTTTGTTTTTTTTTACAAAGAACGATCAGGTTTTTTTTTTTTTTTTTGTTGTTGGAAGACAGGTTTTTTTCTTGGATAACAAGTTTTCGAGATATCAGAAATAGACTAGACTTGATATACGTTGTCTCCCATTCATACTAAAAGCGTGGATTGAGTTATTAATTAGACACAAGGATGTGCGCGAATATTTATTTTAACTCAGGACTATATGAATTTCTATTTGAAAGTCTGTTAATTCAAGAGTACAAAATTTCTAATAACTAGAAATGCCTAAAAGTTGAGACCTCGCAGATTAATATATACAATATTTATTTTTACTATTTTTAAAATGTTAGCTTTGAATAAATATTCAATCATTATGTGTCTATATCTCTGAGATGAGGTATTATGATTCAGATTACTTACATTATTTACATTATTCGGGCTGTTAGTGGCTAAAGACGTTGGTTAGATCCAGTGACTAGACCCAAAGAGTTGTGAGTTCAATACCAGGCCACAGCAGTGGTGAACCAAATTAGAGAGTTGAGTTAACTGAGACATCCGGAAGAGGCATGGTACGTGGAACTAGAACGCTCTACCCCTGTAGACGAAATAAAGGGTTTGGTTCGAAATTTTCAATCACTTGAAGAAGGCCGGAGCGTATAACGACCGGAACGTTGAGAATATGGCAATGAAGATGAGGACAACAGTCCGAATAATGTAAATAATGTAAGTAATGTTTAATCAGTCAATTACGTGCCGTGCGTGATACACGCTTCGGCGATCATGTACCTTTCGATACATGACTGACGAGGCTATAGAACCCGGTCTGTCCTGATATTTACCCATAGCTAGTGGGGAGAAGAAGAGAATTCATACCGTAAGTGAATGTAATGGACTCGGCTGGAATTCGAACTCGGCTCACCGATTCCTCAATCTATTCGACAGGTAAAGCCACCATCCTAGGGCTTAGATATTCGACAAATTATCTCTCCCATTTTTTTGTTTAAACCCGCTGTCTTACATTTATCTTAAAGAGATGACAATTTTTGAAGATGATTTTCAATGGTTGATTTCATTATTTTGAATATGTTGGCTATCTTCAGTTATGTGCCATGCGTGATACACGCTTAGGCGATCATGTATCTTTCGATACATGATTGACTGAATGTTTAATCGTCTATGATGTTTTTTTTTAGTGCACGTTCTTTTGAGATAAGTGAATTTTTATGGAGGCCAGACGGTTTGTGTACAAAAATTGTTACACCTGTATGCCTTTTTCGGCTCAGCGGTTATAACCCGCCAAAATTTGTGAAGGATCCATTTAATTTTATGGAAAATTATTTTTTTTTTTGTATATATTGATCAATGACAGATGTTGTCTCAAGTCGTTGTAAGAACCTTAATGCGGTTCTTGTTAGTCTATTTTACAGAATGAAATAGAGCTCAGGTCAGAAGCTATTTTTGACAGCAGGAGGACAAAAAGATGAAAGAGCAGAAGGCTGTTGACTTCAAGAAGAGAGCATGAAGAAGACACAAAGTTAACAGCTAGCTGCAGAAAGAGTAAAGTATTTTGAAGTTCAAGTGAAAATTCTTCTGAGGTTCGACAACAAAGAACGAAAAAAATTCAAAGTGATTTTCCCAAGCACGAGCTGTGAATGTTAAAAGGGACTTTTCTAACGTTAGTATATGTCCCAGAGACGCTCGTGAGGCAAGTAAAAGTAGGCGTTTTCATTTTCACTAAAAGGTGATTGCACCTTTGTTTTTACTGCCTTCTTGAATTGTTTCTCTTTGTTATTTTCAAAATCCTTATCTTTTCCCAAACTATTTTTTCCATTTTTCGATGGTAATCTTTATTTTTCAAAAATTGTTATCTTGTCTTAATAGTCGCACAAAAGGAAATTTTTGTGCAAACTTTGTATCTGTACCTTTTAGTAATTTTAATAAATGTGTTTCATTCTACTCTCCGGAGGCGTATGTTTGTGTGGGAGGAGGGCTTCTTAGACCCCAGCGAAACACGTGTCGCATACAGCAGGGTACTACCGCCACACTATTTCCAGGAATTTTTCTGCCTTTCAGGATGCCTTGGGAATACCTGACATCTTTGGAAGTGTGCAGATGGCAGCACTGCTTGGAACAGCTCATGTGTTGTCTTTAAGCTGTAGTTAAGACTAGAGATTAGATCATCATCACCCGACTGAAATATCTAAGAGTTGGAGAGGATGCCAAGTCAAATAACAGTAATAATAATGATGATGTTTAAGAAACTGATAAGTCAGCCAATTTTATACCCCCGATAGAATACAAAGTAAAAAATTCTATGGAAAAATATCTGTCCTTTATTCTTTGTGCCGACCAAAAAAGATCTGTTATCTTTAAAACTCGGAAAACGATGTTGTGGTGTCTTCCCTCTAATGAGGCTATTATGGACTCTTCCACTTACTATAAAGTAGTAGGAAAGTAAGCCTAGGGGGAACGGTGATATAAACTGTTCATTACTGCCACATACGACCTACGTGGGGGGGGACGTTAAATATAACGGTGATATAAACTGTTCATTACTGCCACATACGACCCACGTGGGGGGTAAATATAACGGTGATATAAACTGTTCATTACTGCCACATACGACCCACGTGGGGGAAATATAACGGTGATATAAACTGTTCATTACTGCCACATACGACCCACGTGTGGGGGGCGTTAAATATAACGGTGATATAAACTGTTCAACTGTCAAACTCTCTGCCTCGGCAGAGAGGAACACGGACGAGGCTTTGTCGAAGGGTAAAGTTTCGTCCGGGGAGGTAGACAGGCCCTGAACCCATTTATACGGGTTCAAAGGGAATATTTTTGACCGAGCCAACAGACTCAAAGAACCCCCACTAAACCGGCCTTGTGCCACATACGGCCAACGTGAGGCGGTGTTAAATATAACGGTGATATAGACCGTTCATTACTGTCAAACTCTCCGCCTCGCCGGCTTTGTGCCACATATGTCCCTCGTGGAGGGGGCTGTTAAATATTAACAGTGATATAGACTGTTCTACCAAGGCTGTGACTGTTCGCAGCTCCTGTCGAACTCTCTGCTTTGGGCAGAGAGGAATCCCGGACGAGGATGTGCCGAAGGGCAGAGTCTCGTCCGGGGAGGTAGACAGACCCGAACCCGTTTATGCGGGTTCTACGTGGATTTTTTGGCCGAGCCTATGGGCTCGGATGATCCACGTTAAACTCGGACTATATATATTGACCACTAATATTATCTATCTATCTATCTATCTATCTATCTATCTATCTATCTATCCACAACACATGAAAATGTCCCGTTCAACAATCGAATCAACGCTGCTACAGATTGTTGACTTTCGCAATGAACTGGTCACCGAATGCCGTTACAAGTTTACTTCGTTTTAACATCTTGTTTTCGTTTTGATTGTATTATTTTTTGTGAGGATGCATAGGAAATAAACCCTCTTTCCAACACAATTACATACCCTCATGTATACCATGTTAAAACACACCCAAACTTTTATTCTCTACCCAATGACAATATTACAAATATGTCAAAATGATTCCACACAACACAGTGTCTGTTGGTTAGGAAGTAACTTCACCATCAGAGAAAACAAAAGCCATATATTTATCGAGCATACTTTGGGAAAAGTTTTCTTATAAAAAACACATTTCAACTTTCAAAGAACAGAGATGCGACTCCCACTCCTGTTGAAAGAAACATTCAAACGAATCATCTACAACAACAAAAACTTGGACGGTCATTGAATCTTCGCTGACGATAAGACGGTGACTTCAAACGAATAATCTCTAACAACAATAACAAAGACGGCCAGTGAGTTTATATATATATATATATATATATATATATATATATATATATATATCAGTAATGATAAAAGTCTTTTCTCAACCTAGCTTTTTTTTTCTGTGGACCAACTATTATAAGTTTTGTTCTAAACCGCAACTTTTTCTGTGAACCAACTATCCAAAGACTTTAACTTAACTAAAGACTATTTTTACGCCCTTTTTTATTCTTTTGAATTCCTCTACATAGGTTTGTAAATAAAAATGATTTATTTAACAGGCATGAAACCATGTTTTCTTTATTTTTATTTTGTTATTGTTTGGAATTCGGACATTTGGATTTTTAATATAAAAAAAAACACCTGGGTGACGGAATTTCTTACAGGTGTATTAACCTGATAAACCATTTCCATTCTTATGTGTAAATAAAATAAATGATTGTTGAATTCGTTTATTTTGAAATTCTCTACCGAATATTGTTAGGGGATTCATTGATATTATAAACGAGCCTCCACATAAATATTCTTTTTCTGGACGGGTGCAAGGGCCACGTGACCCCACCGGAATCTCTGATACAGCCCCCCCTCTGAATCAATGATACCCCCTACTGTACTACGTCTCAATTTTCATCAGGTAGTATTCATATAGAGTACAAATCTTATTGTAACCTAATTATGTACAATAATGGAACATATGCAATATAGGGGAACAATTCAACTAGAAAAATTGAAAATAAATACAATGTATCTAAATACAAATTAGAGACACGTCATAATAGATGATTTATCTTAAATGGATCAACAATGTTTGGCGGTAATTTTTAACATCAACTTCAGATTTTTCTTGTTAAAATGTTGAAGAATTTTAACAGCCAATATAGATAAAAAATAGTGAATTTTATAGGTAGTGTTTTTTCGAGACTTAGCAAGAGCAAAACAAATTCAGGGATTTGGACAAAAAACAAAAAGAACCCAGAATGACGTCAACATCCACGAGACTCTTTTATCCTTTAATAATCAATTGTGTCAAGTTTAATTGATATCGTATATAAATATAGGTAAACAAAGCAAATATTAATAAGATAGCGAGGGTCACAAAGCACTTCCCGGGCGCCCCAATCAGTGTTGCCCTCACCTCCGATCAGGAGGTTCGGGGGTAGTACGCACCAGCTCTGTTGTATTGTAAAGCATGTCACTTGAAACTTTCTAATGATTTAATAACTAATATTTAAAGTCTGAAACTTTGCTGGTTAATAATTTGCTATCTGTTTTAAATGCTGTGTAAAATTATAACCTTTTAAATCATAAGTTAATTAAATTTTAAAGTGCTAGCCACTCAGTAAGCGTTGTATAAGGCGGTATAAAAAGAAAGGGAGAAAACTCTTTCTTCTTTCTCTTTACTCACAGGATGTCGGACGGACAAAACATGCCTTGTTTCTCAATCCGAAGACCCTTAGTTCCCAGGCGAACTACGTGTCGCATACAACACGATACAATATCTTCAGTTCTAAAAAACCCTCATGCGACCATAATAATACCTCCAGAACAACCTATCCTATATATATATATATATATATATATATATATATATAAGTAATATATATATATATATATATATATATATGTAAATGGATATAGATCCGACAGAATGAAGAAAAATTTGGAAAAAACAAACAAAAATCCTTAAATGCAATTATGTTGTTTAAAATGAATGAAATGTCGACGTCTGACGTTTCGGTTTAATAAACCTTCTTCAGGACAATATTCATTAAAATACAATTCAGTTCAATTTAACAAAGACGATGGACATAAAAAAACAAGTCTTATCCAAAACAGATAACTGAAAATTTTTAAAATGATCAGCTTTAATACTAGACCTGGTTTCTTTAATATTTCCCCCTTTTTAGCGAGATTAATGCTCGACAAGCATACACATAAAAATTTTAGATCCTAATAGAATTCTTTTCATTTTCTTTTTCATTCAAAATAATCAAAAATTTTAAGGAATACGTTTTGAAAGCGTCGCCCATGTGACGACAACGTGACCATGCTTAAACGGAAAGCTGATCATTTTAAAAAATTTCAGTTATCTGTTTTGGATGAGACTTGTTTTTTTATGTCCATCGTCTTTGTTAAATTGAACTGAATTGTTTTATCATATTGTCCTGAAGAAGGTTTATTAAACCGAAACGTCAGACGTCGACATTTCATTCATTTTTAAACATATATATATATATATTTATATATTTTTTTCATATATATATATATATATATATATATATTCAACACAAGAAAATGTCGCAGTTCAATAAACGAGTCATCACCGTCATAAACTGATGACTTCTATAATGAACTGGTAACCTAATGCCGTTACAAGCTTACTTTATTTTATCTTGTTCTCATTTTGCTTTTTTTTATCATTTCACCCCGATCAAGGCTATAAAGCCGCAAAGATGCCGAGTGTTAGAGAATACGAGTTAAAAAACACTATTAAGGAGAGAAGACAATAAAAGAACAAGAATTAAGAAGACAGTCGCTTGAAACTGGAATAGTGTTCCACAAGCAAGAAGTGCGATAGAAGAAATTGTTAACATAGAACTTACAGTTGCATCTACGCCAATCTAGTACTACGCTTAAATTCTAGATCAGGACTAATAACATACCATTGGAGGAGAATTGTCTTTAAAATAAAGATTTTCCATGAAGTAATTATAGAAAAAGGCTCAGGGGAGAACTCAATTTTTCAGGGCGAGTGGGAAAGTGACCATTACACCACGCCGAGATGCTTTAAATATATAGCAGGACACAATACCATTTGCAGATTCTTCTTTGATTGTGGTAAATTGTCTTTAAAATATAAAAATTTTCTTCTTTGGAAGAAGAATCTCTAAATGTATAACAAAAGCCCAGAAAAAGCATGTGGCAATATTCAAAGAGGATCGAACTCACTTATCAAATAATAAAATAGATTCTAGAGAAAAAAAATGTCTAGCACAACCAAGGAAGTTACACCACGCCAGACCTAACAATTGCCCAAGAATATTTTCCACTAATATATAGTCCGAGGAGGCACAAATACCAGATGTTGCATCAGTATTCTGAAACAAGAACAAGTTTGTTTTCTTTATAAATATAAAAAATAGATTCTGGCAAAAAACATTTGGATTCTTTTTTTCGATTTTTATTTAAGAATCTCTAAATATATATATGTAAAAGTGTCAGAAAAGATGTGTCAGCAATATTCAAAGCAAGGATGAATGGTAGACTTATAAATATATAAAATAGATTCTGGCGAGAGAAAAAAAAATGTCTAGCACAACACAAGGAAGTAACTTTCCTCACGGCAGACCTAGCAATTGATTCGATATTATCTTTCCACTACATGTCAGCGGAAAATATTAGTCCGAGTAGGCGCAATAAATAACTCCATTGGAGGTTAGCATCAGCCATGCTGATGGAAGATAAAAAGGCTTCTCTCAGCGTTTGTTTTCTTTGTAAATTAAATAAATAAATTTTGAATTTATTTGAGATTTGAAATATTTAATGAATTTTATTCGAGGATTTTCGTTTAATCGAAACAGGCCTCTATATATGTAAATAGTAACTTTGGCTTCCTTTCAACATCATCTTCAGTTTTTGTAAGAAATCTTATGTATTGCTTTATTATGCACTGGTTCAATCGAACTGCTGTCCTCGCCTTGGATGTTTTGATATACGCAATGTTTCGCCCGGTGTACTCTGCGGCCTTCTGGTGCCTGTCGAATTTATCTCGTTTGACACTGCTTCTGTTCTTTTTGCACAATTAAATGGGGATAGAAAAATAGCGACTTTTCAAAAGCAACCTGGAGAAGGCCGAAGAATACAGCAGCCCCACCCCGCAGATGATTACGTAGGCAGCAGTTTAAACGAATCAATGTATAATAATAATTCCTTATCTTCAAAATTCAGACAGACGTTTTAATTAAAATATTTTTTAGCACTGTTACGTTTTTTTTCTTGACATTTGCGTGACTTTCAAGTCAGCTTCTACATGTTGCCAACACCAAACCCTGCACTTAATCTTGATAAAGAGTCTTGAAGAGACAAGCAGATAGGCTCATTCCACTCAAGCTAAAATTGTCCGCTCTTTTATTAAAAGCTAGGGTTGCATTTTGTTTTTGTTTGTTTTGGAAACCACATGCCGATTGGGCGCAGGCACTTGGCTTCACTTGTCAAACCCGAACCCGTTTACTGTTTTCATAAGATGATGAAATAAATCAATGGTCTTTTTTATGTCTGCAGTTTTAATTATTATTATTATTATTATTATTATTATTATTATTATTATTATTACTCGCAGATGGCACGCTGTTTATGCTTACTCGCCATTTTCTTTAACGTTTTGTTTGTTTCTTTCTTTCCATTCCTCTTTCTTTCTTTCTTTCTTTCTTTCTTTCTTTCTTTCAATTTCTATCCCTATTTCTTTAATTCTTTTTTCTATTTCTATTCCTTTTTCGTTCTATTTCTATCCCTCTTCCTTTCTTTCTTTCTTTCTTTCTTTCTTTCTTTCTTTCTTTCTTAATTTTCCAACTCCCTTTTGGCTCTTCCGATCTTTCTTTCTTTCTTTCTTTCTTTCTTTCTTTCTTTCTTTCTTTCTTTCTTTCTATCCCTCTTTCTTTCTTCTATTTCTATTCCTTTTTCGTTCTATTTCTATCCTTTTTTCTTTCTTTTTTCTTTCTTTCTTTCTTTCTTTCTTTTCTAATTTTCCAACTCCTTTTGGCTCTTCCGATCTTTTTTTCTTTCTTTTTTCTATTTCTATTCCTTTTTCGTTCTATTTCTGCCCTTCTTTCTTTCTTTCTTTCTTTCTTTCTTTCTTTCTATTTCTTTTTCTTTCTTTCTTTCTTTCTTTCTTTCTTTCTTTCTTTCTTTCTTTCTTTCTTTCTTTCTATTCTTCTTTCTTTCTTTTCTAATTTTCCAACTCCTTTTGGTTCTTTCTTTCTTTCTTTCTTTCTTTCTTTCTTTCTTTCTTTCTTTCTTTCTTTCTTTCTTTCTTTCTTTCTTTCTTCACTTTTATCCACCCGCTCTTAATTTGAATGCAAGAAAAAAAAGTAGGAGAGAGAATCTCTGAACATTTCCTTTTCCTTTTGTAGAAACACTCTGTTTTCTATTTGGTCGTTTTTCTTTTTCTTGTCCCACACACATTTACCATCTTCTATACAAAGAACTGAAAATATAAAATAAATTAAAATAAAATAAAAATAAAACGTAAAAATATGACTGAATCTAAAATGCCCCGCGGCAATAAAAATGTTTGACTTTAATTTTACAAAAAAAAAAAAAAAAAATGTCACTGAACAAAGTCACATTTGCGTGGGTGTTTCTCAAATCATCTCTTCTTAGCCCGGGATAACACGACGAGGATTTGTTCAACAAATCCGCCTAAGCTTCCATTCACGCTACCGTCACTGTATTTAACAGCATAAATAGACACGAATATATTAGATGCACGCCTATTTCAATATTAGCTTAAAAGCTGTCGTATCGGGCGGTATTTAAGCTAGCTACTGTAGAGGGTTCTTGATTGGGCCTTCATCATAATAGGTAGGGAGGAGTAGATACGATAGGCAACAATAAACTACAAAAGAACTCAAAATTGATCGCTGCATTTAAGTATTGCGTTAATATTTAAGCTTAACTTTTAAAAGTTCAACGACGATTCTTCTGTCGCCACTTAATTTAAAGACAATTTGATGTACGTAGGTCCTTACTTTTCCATACAAACAATTATTTTATTTCATGGCTGACTTTCGCTGGATTTCACAAGTAATTTCGATTATTCCCAAATTTATTTTCAGGTTATAAAAATTGTTACCGTACAAAAAAATTCGTCGCAAAAAACCCACATAAATAATCCCCCAAAACAATCGCAGTAATGAAAACTTGGGAATCCAAAATTTCAGGATTGCGGTTCCGGATCCAGCAAGGAATGTTTTTAATTTTCTCAGGGAGTCAGCCTGATTCCAAAAAGGTATTATATGCTGGGCTACGGCTTCTAGGAGTAAAGTTGAAAACACAGACAATTTTATTTTAAAACATTGTAATTTGAGAACAGTAATTTTTTATTTGAACATGAGCTATTGAAAGTTACAGAGTTGTGTTCTTTTAATTGTTTTTATCAGTAGAGGCCAAGATGGCTGAATTTGAAACCATCGCAGTAATGACAACTTGGCAATTAATCCAGGTAGTTTTTTTTTACATGTATCACCTGGAGTTTTGTTAATTACCTACCTAGGTCCCCCCCACCACCACACAAGCCATCTCCTATATCAGGAGTCGGCAACTATTTGCTAACTCTGTGCCGATTTTCGGTTTTAAAAACATTTAGTGCACCAATAGCATACGTATTTTTATGCAAGTCAAGGTCAATATACCTGTTCCACAATATATTTTATATAGTAACTAGCAGTAGAGCCCGGCGTTGCCCTGGGATGTGACAGTAAGAGATAGATCAAGTATCGACCATCATAAAGACTGAAAAATAAAATTGACAAAGATTATTGTTTAAGGTTGACGTACACGCATGTCTTAATTAGTTTTTTTTTTGTTTTTTTGTTTTGTTTTTCTACTCAAACAAAAACATTGTTTCCAATCGTTATGAGTCTACCGATTGAATAGAATTTTATTATAAACAATTGTCTTGTAAATGGAATTTTTAAAGCATTCTGAATGTAAAAATAAAGAAAAAAAGTGCAAGACAATAAAAACACTACCTGCCAAAAAAAAGTGAAGTTTTGTTGAAATCGGTTGAAAAATGTAGGAAATCCGATCCCATATATAAACGAACACACACACACAACCTGGGTTTTATATTAAGTATAACTCGATATGAGTTATCCCCCTTTCATTCTGGCGACAGTGATGCCTCTTAATCGTGTTTTCAAATTGATTTCGTGCAAAAACAATTGTGTTTTCCAATTTTTGGCGCTGTCAGAACCACCGCAAGGTAATTTTACGTAGTCCTGTGAAGTTTTGTTGAAATCGGTTGAAAAATGTAGGAAATCCGATCCAATATATAAACGAACAGACACACACACCTACACACAACCTGGGTTTTATAATAAGTATGATATATAGTATATATACTTTAGTATACATTAAAATTGAACCAGCTAAATATCTTCTTTGCTTTGTAGTAGTTATTGGTTCGGACTTCGTGATGTCATTTGCAGCTGCGTAGCATTGGAAATTGGCGTTTCACGTGTGGCACGTGTGGCACGTGTGGCACGTGTGGCACGTGTACCGTAGTTTGTCGACCCCTGGTCTAGGAGTTAATGTGGTCTTCTTTCTGTGTCTGTCATCAATACAGTATCACGTACGTGTCTTATGTTGTGTACACTAAGGACGCGTATTCTCGCCGGACTTATTTCATCTGTACAACGAGGCAATTTTATCCCCATTCCTTTTGTATTCCATTTGTGAGGTAGAAGTTCTACCAGGGCTGCTTCTTCCCATGAACCGATATTTTGTGGAACTATCTCTCGGGATGATGCTTCCCGGCTCACTACACTTTCAATCTTCATTCATGTCTAGGTCCAACCGTTATCTCCCGCCTACATATCCCCATAAACTGCACCTCTTACTTTATAACGCTCTATCTCGTGTGGCACTCGGGCCTTGTACAGTGGTGGGCGAGATCATTTTAAAAAATGCTTAAAAATCCGATTTAATGATGAAAGGTTAGATGTTAGGTCAGGGTTTGGGTTTGCAATTAGGGGGGGGTTTAGGGCTTGACACGAACTGACTAGAATAGTTGCAGCGAAATATATGCATTTCTCTATATTTTTAGCTATACTTGTATGCTTCTGTACTATACAATTAGTAACATTATTGACAAATAAAAATCAACTAGATTTTTATTAATCATTTAACCCTAATCAAAGTAATAAAGCCACTAAGACATAAGGAGGTTAATGAGTGTGAAAGAATAATAATAATAAAAAGAAAAACCTTATTAAGGAGAGAAAAAAAAAGAACAGAAATTAAGAAGACAGAAAATAATGGTTAACATTGCATTTAAATTTTTGAAGATCAAAATTAGCTGGAAAGCAAGAAGCCGTTAGAGAGTTCCACGGGCGAGAAGTGCAAGAAAAGAAACTCTTAGCAAATAACTTACTGTTACATCATGCCATTTCAACTGTAAAATGATGGGACATTGCTGCCAATCTAGTACTGCGTTTAAATATATAAAGTCTAGGTAACGTAGCTGAAAGTTCATCAGAACAATTATCATGAAAGTATTTGTATTTACTCAACCCCACCACGCTCCAGGAGGTCAGGTTGTAACATAAGCTCGGTTTAATGTGGGGAGCCCGAGCGCGTACACCCGGGCTAGGAACAAAAATTCCCGAGCCTCCCGCAACTGTTGTAATGTGTTACAAACCACTCGAGAGAGTGATTTTCACTTTTCAAGTATGTATAGAAAAGAGAAGCTACAGTATGATGGTGGGAAATTGACCGAAGTGGGATCAGGACCAATAACATTACAGATTCTTCTTTAGATTTGATCAAGGATCTCTAAATATATAACAGGAACACCAAACTAGATGTGGCAACACTATTTAAAAAAGGACGAATGGTAAACTTATATGTACGTGAGATAGATTCTGTCGTGAAAAATTGTCTAGCACGGAAAACGTTAGTCCGAGAAAGCCCAAAGAATCACATTTCTGGAGTTTAGCATCAGCCATGCCGACGGCAGGCAGAAAGGGGTCTCTGAGAGGATTAATAGAAAAGCACATAGTAAAAAAAAAAATAAATGGCCAGGAAGTAAGGGTCCTGTTTAGCGCTAAATTTGTATTGTAAATTAAACCCTATAAAAAGTTAATTATACCCCAATATCATTAGAAGATATACTTTCCTACTGAAGTATAAGAAGTTGAAACTGATCCAAGTTATCGCTTTCCGACTGACAATGTCTTTCCGTACAAGCAGCACCACGTTCACAAGTGAACGGTCTATTCTCTCTCTCTCTCTCTCTCTCTCTCTCTCTCTCTCTCTCTCTCTCTCTCTCTCTTGCGTGGTGTCTTTTTTTATTTATTTATATTGTGTGAAAAATAATATCGCCAAAATGTCCGCCAAATCTGAATCTAGACAACAAAGTACTTTTGTTACTATGTTTCATCTGATGCATGGCTCAAGAAACACTCAAGGTAGAGGACTGCCAACTGAGGTGTGTGTCGGAGAAGAGGGTAAGAAGTGAAGATTATATGGATAGGGAGGATAGATACCGACTGGTTATTGATTTGAAGAGATTTAGTTTCTAGTGTTCAGGGAAGCATACATGCTGGAGTCTGTTCCACAAAGTCGCAGCTCTTGAAGAAAAAAGCTGCTTTATAACTTTTTTTAATTGTTTTTCTTTATAACTAGAATGAGAAGGAAATAAAGATTTGTCTCTGTGGATGTAGCATGGTATATCCTAGCTGTAAAGATTTGAACTGGCGGGGGGGACTAAAGAACGGAGATCATCAGAAGAGTTACCTTGGAAATAGGGATAGAGTAGTGATATGTTTGTGATGTTGAGACTGTGGGGAAAGAGGTTGCATAGTGGAAAATAAGTCTTGCTTCATAAGACTGTGTAAAGGATTTTTAACTCTAACAAAGCTGGAAACTTCCAGGTTGGTGTAATTGGTGAAATAATAATAAACTTCACTAACCTAGAATGGGGTGCTTTTTACATACCTTATTTAAGTTTTTCTAAAATCCATTCGTAAAGGTTTCGGGCTACCCAAATGATTGCCACTTGCCTTAGCCCCATACCCCCCCCTGAACCCAGCGCACATGTTTTCTGTATAAACAGCTGGTACCAAGTCAGCTAAAAAGTGTAAAGTCATGGTTTTTTTTTCTCCCAGCGCACACACACAGAGTGAACGAGTAAGTGAGCGTATATGTGTGTGTGTATGTGAGAGAGAGA